CATGCATCCTCTTGGTTTTCAGCTTGTACATTGTTCTTAGACACAGACAGAAAGATTACTCAGCAAAAAGGTTTGAAGTTTGAGGCAGGAAGATGCTCTGAATATCTCCAGCCCCACTTGGCTTCGCTCATCAGTTCCCCACAGAGTAATGTGGCCTCTGGCCCCGCTGAAGATTAGCTGGAGGAGGGGCACTCACCACACACAATGGGGCCCATTTACTTCCAGTAGAGGCCTGGCCCTGAGCGCCAAACAATGCTCTCAGCGCAGTGGACACTCCTTCTGTTTCTCTTTTACACTTAAATGCTTTTCTCCTTCATTCCACTGCCTCTCTGTTCGGCCCCTTTGCCCCCATCTCCCCCTCCCCCCACTCACACCACCCCATGTTCTCCTCTTATCTCTTAGCATGATGAGCATAGACAGGCTGTATATCTAAAGGGACTGAAAGAGGGAAGGTGAATAAACAAATCCTGAACCTACAAGGAATGGAGTTCACCACACACCATTAAAGCCTTTACACACGGTAGTGCTTTGTCCATGGGAGTCTCTCATTTATCCCCCAGCCTGCTGGCAGCTAAAGTGGCAGAAGAGGGTCATGCGGTTGCCATGTACATGAATGAGCACAGATTTCTTTTCTACTGCTCCTATTAATGTGTCAAACTTTGCTACTCTCCAATCAGAAGTCAGCAAAAAAGATTCAAAGATAGAGGCCAGTTCTCATTCACATCTAGGTGTATCTGAAGGTGTGTGTGTGTGTGATGGCAGTGAGTGCAGAGAAAACAGGAGACTATAATCAGAATCCAAACAGGCTCTCAGTCTAAATGATGCAGGCCCTGCCTCTGGGTCTATGGGGACACGCAGGAGAAAGGGATAATTGAAAAAATGACAAGGAGAACGCAGAGAAAGAGAGAGAGAGGCTGACACAGACCTCCTCCCCTCCTCTTCCTCATCCCCCTCTCCTGGTAGGAGCAAACCCCAACGCTGTTTATCCTTGTCACTGAGCATTACCACCTCACCCTGGAAGGGATGCCTGCCTCTCTGTCTCTCTTCTGTCACACACACACATATACATGGTGTATCCATCACTTCAGGGGACATTGACTTACCCTAACCTTAAGCCAAATCATCACTCTAAACTGTACTAATTTACATTTTGGAGACTTGCTTTTGTCCCCATAAGACATAATGTCCCCACAATGTGACTGTGTGAGCAGATTTACCTTCCCATAACATGAGTAATACAAGACCACACACACACACACACACACACACACACACACACACACATGCATACAGTACATGCATATACCATGCTGCCCATTTTTGAGTCAGCATGGAATGAATGTATCTGCTTGTGAGAGTGTGTCACTCTTTTATAAACTGCCACACAGTCTGTGTGTTTTTCTGAATGAGTGTCAAACAGTTATCTTTTGAAAAAGAAGTAGACAAAACATTAAATGGTATTATTTATGGTGTATGAGCAAATACATAAGAAAGGATGTTGTGTTATGGGTGTCCATTTTTAGTCATAGACCATAATTTGAAAGAAGGGTCTTGTGAAATCCAAAGTTCACTCCTAAATTAGAGATGATTCATTCGTTTAACCTGTCTCTATATAAACATGGCACCGAGCTGTACTGTGCCTATTTCCTCTGGCTCCATGCTGGTTTAATATCAGATAGCCCTCCTTCCTCTCTTCCCAAGGTTTCATCTGAAATGGAAAGTGGGGCTTTCCTTTTCGTTAGAATGAAAAGTCATCAAGGGAGGAGAGGAGAAAGGGATGGAGCCTCATTGAAATGCAAGTTACATCCCCCTCTTTCTCTGTCTTCACTCCTCTGGGACTCGGTGCCTCTCTCCTCCTTCCCATCTTTCGGGCGCTCCCTCGCTCCCTCTCTTCCTTTGTTAATCAGTTAAACTCCCTCTTCAAACAACCCCTCTAATTACTCCTCCACTCTCTGTAAACGACAGGGCTGTCTCTTGCTTCTCCTCTTCTCCCTTCACCCCCCTCCCTCCCTAAGCTCCATCTTTTCATGGCAGGGGTTGACCTCTGTCAGCCACCGACCCCTCAGCAGTATGTGCGTCTGCCTGTGTGTGCATGTGTGGTTGCACATATGACTGATTCTTGCATATTAATGGTAGAAGTGGCATCCTAGGTTTTTAAATGTTGTTATTATTAGTGCCCAATGTTCACATTTATCAACTGCCTACTCATTTTATTGTTCTTTGACATTTGTGTGTATGCACATGTATGTCTTCACTGCTGTAGCCATTCCCTTGAACACACTTTCTCCTTCCAGAAGCCTGCAGGGTAGGGCAGGCTTTATCTTTCTGTGTGACTCCCCATGCCCATTTCTCACCTTTTCAGCCATTATATTCTTCCTTCATCCCCATCTCTCTTCTTTCCCTCCTTCCTTCCTTCCAGTTTACACTGTGTGGAGAGTATCCTCCTCTCTCACCCCTCCACTCACTTCCCTGCAGCTTCACCTCTCTCCCACTAATCTACCACGCATCTCTCTTTTAAATTAACATGCAACATGAAAAAAATGGGATGACAGTGAAAAAAAAATTAAATGCATTTAATAAATGGCTGACTTCAAATCGCCTGGCTTTGCAGACTCTCCCTATTCACCGTCCAATGAAAGGGGAGAAATCATTCACCGGGAGAGACAAAGCCGAATGAAAATATAATTCTGCATTGTGGGGCGCTTTTGTCCTGCCCCGTCAAATCGCTAATGGCGAGGCTTTTGTTTTGTGGCGGCGCTCTCAGGCTTGCGGTGTCGTATGGCGGTGGCAACGCATGCCCCATAATCACCACGCTTTGTGATATTAGATTATAGGGGCAATTAATGGCGTCAAACCTTAACTACTCAGCATTCAGCCTGCCACACACGCACATTCAGCCTTAAACACATGCCCGTGCACACACACACACATATACTCCCACTCAACACATATACAGTAGATCTGCACTAGCACACGTGCATGCGCATTTGGCTCTGGCATCAGAACGTCAGCCAACACACAGAAAGGTGCTATAACTCCAGTAATTATTACGCCTGTGACTTGAAAATGTCAATGGCGGTGTGTATAAAATAGAATGTATGAGTTGTCAGGGAGGAAGAATGGGATGCACAAGAGCAATTAATTACAGCTTTTCATTTGGCAGCGTAGACTGACAAGGCCCAGCAGCGGGGGCAAGCTGGCATGACGCCAAATGGCACCCTTCACCACGCCCCACCTTACTCACTATACTATACCACCCCACCCCCCAAACCCCTCAGCCTGTTCCTTTACCAACTGCCACAACACCACCCTTCCTCTCACTCGCCCTGCTGTGACTCTGTCCTTTCTTTTTCTTCTTTTCCCTTGCTCCCTCACCTTAAATGTATACACTCGTATACTCTACTGCTCATTCATTTACATACCTTCCACTTTCTATACCCTAGGTTAGCCCTTTTTTCTTCACTCTCACCATCCCTTCACCGTTACATGCAGCTTAGTTGGCAAACCTGCTTTGATAAAACCATAGACAGCGTCTGGGGGCACTGACAGAAACACAAAGGAAAAGAGAGAGAGAGAGGAGAATGGATGGAGTTGCAGGAGGGGGAGACAGGGGCCAGGTGAGAAAGTGTTAGTGTTTATGGTCAGTCTTGTTTACAAAGTCATATCAGCTCTTTACAGATGTAATTTTCCAATGACAGCTCGTCCCCCCTTTTACTCTCTACCTCACAATTCCCATCACCCTTGCTACCTTTCATCCCCTCAGGTGGTGAGTAGACAGACTGCTCTGAAGAGAGCTCCACACACCGGCACTTGTGGTTGCCCCCCGACACACACATACAAGCCCACACACAAATACGCACAAGACCATCAAAGAGATGGATATAACACAAGGTGAATACAGATAAATGGCCAATTCCAGGGGTGATAACTCATCTTTGTATTTCTCAGTAAACTTGCCATCACTTACTAATAGACAGAATTATTTGTATTGTGAGCAGTATTGTTTATTGAGGTGCAGGTAGTAAAGGATGTAGTCACCCCTCAGTCTGTAAACAGAGAGAAACTATCAGCTCCTGGACTTGATGTTTCTTCATCTCCCTAAATGCCTCTCAGTATCAAATGCTTGTTCTCCTTATCCCCCTGATTGTTTTTTCAACACGTATTTAGATTAATAAACACAATAGTACTTTGTGAGCAGGGTTGTCTGTATGGTTTTTCATATATTTTCTCTTCATTTATTTATGTGTATGAGTGTCTCGTTTTCTGATTTATGTGGTTAGTTAGTCTTTGGTTTTGCAGTGTTTGTAATCAGATTAGCATCTCTGCCCATCTCTGTGTACAATGCATGTGCTTAAAGAGTGCTTGCAAAACACATCTGCAAGAATTGCCACATTTCTCTCTGTCATCTCTCTCTCTCTCTCTCTCCTTCTCTTTGCTGGCCTGCAGCTCTACCTGATAAGACAGACATCTCATCAGATAGCTACTTTGTTGTTCCTTTCTTCATAGCTAGGTTTGACTGTGTGGAAAGAGAATCGGAAGCAGTCCTAATCATGTGTTTATGGAAGCAGATAAGATTTTATATTTTATAGGAAGATTGCATATCCGTTCTTTTATCTGTGCCTGTTGTCACAAGAATTGTCCTCTTTTTTGCCAGCCTTGTGTAGGAAAATGTCAACAATATGTGTGTGCTTTGGTGTGTCTGTTTATTTTTGTCTCATGTTACCAGCTTTTCTTAAGGGTGACTGACAAAGTAGAATAAGAAACAACACACCACTCTCACTTTGCCTGTTCATACCAGCATACTGTACAAGCTCCATTCAGATTGTTTGTTTTGAGCATTCAGTTGCATGCACAGTCATGCAAAGCTCGCTATGCTGGCCGAGCCTTTTTCACACAAAGCTTATCCTACTGATTGATTCGCCCTACTTTTGTGTATACTGTGGAATCTAAATCTAAAATGCATGTGTGTTCATTTATGTGTGCCCCTGTGCTGTCACCAGGTCCCAGTGTCCATGGCTATGATGAGTCCACAGATGATCACTCCTCAGCAAATGCAACAGATCCTTTCTCCCCCTCAGCTCCAGGCCTTGCTCCAGCAACAGCAGGCTTTAATGCTACAGCAGGTAAACACACACACACACACACACACACACACACACACACACACACACACACACACTCTGTTTGGATCCAGTCCCGGGCCTGCATGTTTGGATGTGTCTGTTTTAGGAGACGCTGACACACGCTAGGTGTGATTATATCTTATTCAATGTTCAGGGACCTTTGAAGATATACACAAATCCACATATCCACTTATGCACATATTGTCAATTTGATACCTCAACTTTAGCAATGGTGCTAGGAAAATGCATAGGTTTCTGCTAGTGCACAGCTATATACATGCACATGCATGCATGCTTGTGTGCTTTTTAGCATCAGCCCGTGACTCACAGGGAGTCAGGAGTGTATTGGTGCCCAGCAGGTAATAGAGGGGTTGCCATGTAGACACGAACCAATAAACACATTTCATCTGGTACAAATCTGTCAAATAATCAGTCACACTAACTTGTGACCTCCTACCTACACATGCAAAACACACATGCAATCTTGTGAAGGCTGTCAAGGGGATATTTACAGAATGGGGATAGAGAAGTAATTGCAGCAGAGGAGAAGTCTAGAAAACACATACCTGTACGCACACACACACATGGCCGGAGCAGAAAGTACATTTAATAAGGAGCAGTAGCTTTAGGCAAGTATAAATTGCAGTGGGAAGATCTGACAACGTGTGCCATAATGGAAATGTGAAATGTGCTGGTTTTCTGAAAACAGACATGCAGATGGCTAAGAACCTCTTAAGCAGCTCTTTTTTCTTAAACGAGGAAAAGAGGAAAGGGGGGGCTGATAATACACACACACACACACACACACACACACATTATGCTACCACTATTAAAACCACTGAGTTTAACATTGCTCTCCCACTTAATTAACCACAGTATGGACTTGCTCTTAGTGTATATCTGCAAATCAGGCACTTTTGCAGACACACACACACACACACACACACATACACACACACACATACAGACCAGCCAACCAACATATCACTCACTGGAGCATTAAATTTCATATCCCCATGGCGATACAGCATTGTGTAAGAGTGTGTAAGTAAGGTTTATGGCCCCCAACATCCCCCACCCCCCACCCCCGCTACACAGCAGTTGTGTGTTTATACGGACAACCATTTGTGGATTTGCATGTGTGTTTGTGTGTGTTTTAACCTTTAAGTTTCCCCTAACCTTTACTCATGCTACAGCTGCTCCGCCTTTTTTTGTGGTGTGTTCGCTAAAGTCAAGGTCATGGTAATAGGCTGGAGAGGTGAATGCCTCACTTACACATACTTTTAATACACAGAGCCACTGAATCAAATCATTAAAAAGACCTTAATTATCACTTAATTATTCCCTCAACTCACCATTCTCCAGCCAAGTGTGTGTGTGTGTATTTGCATGTGTGTGTGTGTGCTTGGATATGTAGTGGTCTGTGTGATGAAGAGGCGATCAGGGCTAGTGACGCGGAAAAGAGAGATTAACTCCACCTAAGAAGCGATAAAAGAGGGGAAAAGCAGATGGGAAAGAGC